AATATAATTTAAACAGATAGTAATAACTTCTGCAAAGATTGAGAGTCTCAAAAGTTGATTCTTTCATTGTTTTCATTGTTAACAGAGGCATAGTTACAGATAGTTATAAAGATGAAAAAAAATTCCATGTAGACATTGTGAACATATCCCTATTGGTTTTCATCTCAAGAAATAAGTACCAAGCATGAAATTATAAGTAACTTTCTCATGGCTTTGTAATTATGTCTTTAATTAAACAAGCAACCTTTTTCAAATTAGAATTTCTTTGCTAGGTGTGGTGGTGCACATCTGTAATCCCAGGACTTGGGAGGCTGAGGCAGGAGGATTGTTGGGAGTTTGAGGCCAGCCTGGGCTACAAAGTGAGCTCAAGGCCAGCCTGAACTGCATAGTGTCTTTTTGTCTCAAAAAGACAAAAAAAAAAAAAAAAAAAAAAAATAGAATTTTTGCCATGACAAATTCCCTACAATGTGTTAGTAGCATCCTCTAAAATCAGGACTCTAACCATGCTTGGAAGTTATTATCTGAACATGTGTTATCTCTGTACCCTGAATATACAATGCTATGACATGAACTATAGAAATTGCTGTACTGATTTCTCCTTGATATCTCAGGTGATGACCTCCACCAATTTTAAATGTATCTGCCCTTCCTCAAGACATTTGCTTCAAAAAGGACTGACCCAGTAACTACAAACATCTTGAGGCTCTTTTCCACAAAGTGCTTTTCTCTAGAGTCTTACTTTTTTCAGTACTCACAATATTGTATCAAATACAGGTTCAACAAACATCACAAAATCAATTGCCTTTTCTATCTAATAAATTAAAAAATCAAGGCCTGAAAAAAATTTTAAGATCCCATTTTTCTGCCTTAAACTGTCCCAGGCCGGTACTACCTTTCCTAGAATTACAAGATCCAAGGGTTGGGAAAGAATATCTCTTTGCACATGAGACTAACAGCTCCATTTGCCACCTATGTACAACACTCAACCTGCTTGTTTTTCAAAGCTGTGGGCATAAACATGGGACCAATCAGAAGTGAGTCAGTTTGAAACTGAAATTCAGAAGAGCTTTGCTGATCTAATGGCAAAGATATACCCAGCAATCAAACCTGAGTGATTACAAACCATTTACTACAAAGTCATACATATGCGTATACCAAATTTATAACTAAAGTTACTGCAAGCTTTACTGCAAGCTACTTACTCGTTCAGAAAAACAAAACGATACTTTTTTTCTACAAATGATAAATCCAGATCAGAATGACCATTTTGATGCAAACATTTTATATCAATTGATAGGAATAGTAACAGCCAGAAGGAGCCATTGATTCTGAAGGTTACACTTAAAAATACATTCTAAGAAAATTCCCTATTGTCAACTTGGAAGAAAAACCTTTAGTAAAATCAATATTTCTTACTTGTTTTAAAAATCAGCCCTTAATCTATTTTATATCTTTGATAAGATATCACCATCTTTTATTTTCTTTACACAGGATATATCTATATAAAATACCACATAGTTCCACAAAACAATTCCAAATCATCCACTACCTTTTCAGTCATCCTCAAGTGTTTGTGCAACTTCCTCTATTCTGTCAATCAGTAACCAAGTTATAAAGGCAGAACAATTGGGTTATTATGGAAATGGGCATTGGGACAATGTAATTTCTGGACTTTCCTTTATAATTTTCTGTTAAACTGAGATGGCAGAGGCTTACAACTTCAATAAGAAACATCAAAATGTAGAATATGAAGCAATAAATGAATCAAAATATCAAATTAGTCAAAATGGAAATCATAAGGCCCAGACTAAAAAAAAAGCCATATTTTTTTTACCATCTCTCTTTTCACACCTGTAAAATGTGACTAGTAATAGTTGTTCTGCTAAATTGTGAGAATTAATGAAGCTCTGAAGCAGTCTTTGTATAAATGAAAAAGTACTTCCTAAATGGAGTATATTACCAGCTTTCTGAATTCATTAAATAAGTAGTTAAACTGGTTGCACATCTTTTACAAAACTGCTTATGGGAAGAAATGGATTACTTATATTGGATATTTGTATTATTTTGTGGTGTACACAGGGAGAGTTACACTGTATTTTTAAAGAATATTATAAGGCTGTATTAATGATTAATAAAAAGATTCACATAACAAGAGCAGTAAATATATTGCACATCCCTTTTTTCTTAGGCAGGTGATGGTGTCAAAAGATTAGAACAATATCTGCTGTAATTGTTTTCTCTCAAAGAACTGGTTCCCTCAGAGTCAGTCCTGGTTCCCTCAGCTGTTAACTATCCTGACAGTCAGCGGGTAGAAGATAAAGACTTGAGTAGAAGATGAAGAGCTGACCGGAACACACGTAAACACACGAATGCCTTGCCAGTTTCTGTCCTGATGAATAACTGACATTCAATAAATATTCACTAATCAAAGATGGGCATGGCACACATCTATAATCTCAGCAGTCTGGTAGGCCAAGGCAGAAAGATAACAAACTGGTACCCAGCCAGAGCAATTTAGTGACTGAGCAAGATCTTGTCCCAGCTGGGCGTGGTGGCACACTTCTGTAATCCCAGCACTTGGGAGGCTGAGACAGGAGGATTGTTGGGATTTCGAGTCCTGCCTGGGCTACAAAGTGAGCTCAAGGCCAGCCTGAATTGCAGTGATAGACCCTGTCTCAAAAAAAAAAAAAAAAAAAAGATCCTATCCCAGAATAAAAATATAAAAGACGGGCCTGGGGATGTAGCTCAATGCAAAAACCCTGGGTTCAATCCTTAGTACAATTTTTGAAAAATCACTGATTGAACCAATGGATGTAGGACATTTCAAAAAGAGTTGCTTCATGAAGTTTGCAGATAGTTTTTCTGTCTTTTCCTTGCATATTTTAATATTTAACAAAATTTGTAAGATTTGTCTTTATAACAAACAATGATATAAGGAAACATAATCATTATGGGAAATATTAAGCATTTTGGAATAAAAGTAGAAAATACAAATGTCCCATAATCCAATGAAAAACTTGCAATTTATTCCCCTTTATCATATTTCACTTACTGCATTCAGGTAATTTTAAAAAATCAAATGTTACAGAAAAAAGCAAGTCCAGTATTAAATGGCTGCTTATCATTAGAGTTGAAGTTAGAATCTAGGTCAGTTGGGTTCTAGGCAAGCTGGTTTGCACTATACAGAGATGTTGTTGGAAGTTCCAAACTCCCCAGGAAGAAGTGTCAACAGACACTGCAACATCCACTGTCAGGCCCTTCCTTACGTGTAAGTTAAAGTTGGTTTGCTAATTATCTCATATTATAAGAAAACTCCAGTGTTTGAACAAATCTCATTTTTATGGGACATAAATTACCTTTGGGGATTTATTAACTTGTTAAGATGTTTCTAAATGCGTGTGTTGGAAATCCACATGTGACTAATTCAAGGGATGGATCTAAGTTGTTACAAGATGTGTGAGAGGGTCAGTGATCAAAAAGAAAGAAAACAAAAGAAAAAAAGCAAGATTGAGAATTAGTAAAAAAATATAAAATCAGCATGAAAGCAGAGGGAAGAAGTTAAGGTAAATAAAAGGCATACAAAGGGGAAAGGAGGCACAACTGTCTTCCTCCTTTTTATTCCTGGAACAGTTTTAATATGTAAATGATTACGTTTAATGACTTTGCTTTCTAAGCAGCAGCACTAGAAAAGATAATAATTAGTTAGAAACAGACCTCAAATTACCTCTATGGTATAAATTTTATCAGGTGCTAAGGGGTCTGTTTAATAATTTTCTTTTTCCTAGTGAAACACAATGCAAAATACTTCAAAAGTAACTTACAAGGATAAAAAGAAGTAGTGTCTTGTCCCATAAAATATGTTCACCCTACAGGAAGTTTGTAAAACTCCTTTGAGCCAATGTATATCAAACACTTCTCTATGCATTGCACAATTATTGCTTAATTTAAAATTTAACTCTTTCAGAGCTCAGTGAAAATAAATACCTGTTTCTTGACTGGCAAGTTCTAAAGACCTTTGGGGTGTACTAACAGGTTTGTTTCACTGTATTTTCTGCAAATATCTCTTGGGCCAATATTTGAAATGTACACAATGAACAGAAATAAAATGCAAATCTTCCTTGTACCCAAATTATATTCGCAAATTCAACTTCAAAGTTGACACCTATGCAAATGGTATGCCTCAAAGTCTCCACCTGCCTTCATTTAACAAAAGCTTAAATCACCTCTTGTTCTAGTTTTTGAGGCAAAAAAAAATGTAATTATTTTTAAGACTAACATCATTATAAGTTGTAAGAGACTAAAAAAGGAATAGGTTCAGCCACTTCTTTCAAAACCAAATGCCTTTTTCCTTTGCTTCCTCTGAAATGAAATTACTAAAATAGTACTCATACTCAAAATGTAACTGTGTAACTTGATCAGATTTTTTCGAGAGTCTGGTTTGGAGCTGTTCTCCCATGTCAAGTAACCCAAGGGAGAAGTGAATCAGAAAAACTAGTCGATTTCATTTAATGTTTCAATACTGTTTCTCACATAGTGCAACACAGTAAATACCCAGCGATGCTGTGCATAAGTAACCAAAATGACTATATTCTTAAGTTAAAACACATGAGTCAACCAAGTCCGTTGCTAAAGGCTCTTAGGGCTGTCTAACAGCAGCTGCTCAAGTCCGGGGATCATTAACTAGTGGGTGGCATCACGTGGAACACAAAAAAGGGGCCACCTCGCCGCTCTCTTTAAATGCTAAATTCCCGGGCTCCCACTGAAGGGAACAACTTATCCTCGACTCCACCATGTAATTAGACCACGGAGAGCAAACTTGCACGGGTTAGAAAGACCCCGGATTCCCTGATCTGTGCATCATTTCAACTGCTGGGGCCACGCAGACTTAGAGCCGAGCGGTTTCCCCTGCGTCCGTCCTTCTTCCAAGTCAGCTACAGAGTAATAGCTTAGGGGAGTGGGAGAAAGCAGCGGAGCAGGGGAAGAGTAAATATATCGCTTACAGTTCCCAGAGGCACAAGAGAATCCTCAGGCTTCTGTGTGTCTCTAGCTTTCTGTCGGGATCCAAGTTCAGTCCGGACTTGGGCGAAGTCTTATCCCCCTAGTGGGAGGAGCTAAGCGAGGGGCTGGTCTCCTCCGGCTTTTGCGGAGGTTTTAAGGTGGAATTAAAGAGGAAGAGACGGAGAGCGCGTGGGCTGGTAGAAGCTAATATTTTAAATGCAAAATTGTAATTGTCAGAATCAGGCGTTTGAAGTAAGAAAACATGCTTAAATAATACTTAAAGAGGCCGGCCCTAAATGGTATGAACCATGCGTTTCTGCCTGAGTGTGTGTGTGTGTGTGTGTGTGTGTGTGTGTGTGTGTGTAGCTACATAATGCCCTTAAACTGTCAGTACTTTTTCTGTTTCCAAGCAAGAACACAATTGACAAGATAGTGGATGAGCTTAAACATTCTTGTTTTCTTTCAAAAGGTAAAGTTTATAAAAAAGCAAACTATAAAATATATACACATTAAAGATGGACCAAAAAATAGGGTTACTTTAAAAATTGAGTCTGTTCAAAAGGTTTTCCCCATACTCAAATGAGTTGACAATCATTTGTAAATGTAGGACTGTAGCCACTGAGGGACTGTGATAGTATATTGAGATTCAGAGGCTAAAAAAGTCACATCGGGTTGAATTGCAAATTTGCAGTGCAGAATGAGAGGCTTGCTAACCTTAACAGGGAGAAAGTGCTTCACATAAATTCCATAAGAACCCAGCAGAATTCATTCTTCCAACTGAGTAAGAGCACTTATTACCGCACTGGTTATATGTTATAGTTAGCTGTACAAGAAGAAAATAGATTTTGTTTCATGATGTGGGAAGACAAACTTTTTCACATTAGAAGACACACTTTCTACCTGAAGTCCCTAACATATTAGGAGGTCAGTAGATGGTTGTTGAGTTTGTTGTCCATGATATTGAGGTCAAATAAATCTTAAAACCAACCCTCAACTCACAAGGCCCTGGGATTTAGCTCAGTGGTGCAGTACTTGGTTCTGAGTTCAATTCCTGGTACACACACACGCACTATATATATATTTATTTCAACTCTCTATCTCCATTTTTTAAAAAAGAAATTTTATTTTTATGCCCCCTTCTAATACTAATATATGGAAATATGAAACTAATCAGATGTAAGGGAGAATGGATTCTAATTAGAATACATAGGCCATGAATCTTAGCTGTCATACTAAAGGCATAACTCTTTAGAGAGAGTGCTTATGAGCAACAAAAATATATTTTAAGATCTAAATATCTACCAGTAGCTTCCTGTACATCTGCATCAATCTTTTGACCTAAAAAGCAAAAAAAAAAATTTTTTAATGGATATGTTAGGTAGATGATTGCAACTTTATAAAGCTTTCTCTTCTTTTTAATATTTGCATTTTATTTTTTTTAATTTTTATGTTTATGAGTATACTTTTCTAGTACATAATGATCATATTCCTCATGGGGAGTTGTTATATGTACATAATGCATCTTAATTCTTCTCTATTTTTAAAAAATATAATGAAAGGACTATAAAAAATAAAGCCCTAGTAATAGGCTAAACCAGGTACTTTATATTATCACTACTTCTGCTGTATCCTTAACCACTATATTTGGGAAATTAGACATTACTATCTTTATTCAGAATTCCATTGTTATGTAAGCACACAAATTTAGCAGTGAAGCCAGGATTTCAGTCCAAGTCTGCCCATCTCCACAGCCCGTAACTCTTATCTGTATATCATATTCTCTTATAGGAAGCTTTGTTTACTTATCTTTCAGCTTTGTCCCAAGTCAACCGAAATCCCTGTTAGATTCTGTTATTAGTGGAGCTACTGGTACAAAAGAGAGCTCTCTTGGGGCTGGGGATTTAGCTCAGCGGCAAAAGCGCCTGCCTGGCAAGCGCAAGGTCGTGAGTTCGGTTCCCGGTACCGGAGAAAAACCAAAAAGAGAGCTCTCTTTATCCTTGGGACAGGTTAGGAACCTTCTGCTCTTCTCATCCCTAGCAGCAGTGGTCACTGTCTTGCCCCTCATCTTCCCCCAGAATTCCTTCATGTATCTTCTGGTACTGGGAATCGAACTCAGGACCTTACTCTTGCCAGGCAGGTGTTTGTACCGCTGAGCTATATACCCAGCCCTCCGTGTATCTTCTAGTCTCTCCCCTCCCCTCCCCCACTTTCCCCTCCCCCTCCTTCCCCTCCCCTTCTCTTCAACATTGTCTCCTCTTCTCTCCTCTCCTCCTTCTCTTCTCTCTCTTTTTTCTTCCTTTTATTCTTCTAATTTTTTTCCTTTTTTGAGCAAGTTCTCATTCAGTTGCCCAGTGTGGGTTCAAACTTGCTATGCTCTGCCTCAGCTTCCCAGAGTACTGGGATTACAGGTGTAAGGTACCAAGCCCAGATTGTTTTGATTGCTATCTTCATTTGTTTTCTTTTCTTTCTATCTTATTGTCAAAATACTAATTTACACTTTTGCTTTACGGTGCTTACATATACTACTGCGTGTTCTCTACTCCTATATTATCTGCCCCCTCTCAAAGTCATTGTGGAGCTCACTAACCTGGTAGCCTTACCATGACACAAATCAGTTCATTCCACTGCCTTAGCCGTACCATCTAGTTTTCTCCACTACCTATAGACTTATATCACACTTTAAACATACTCCTATTTCATTCACGAGCAAACAAAATCACACCACAATTTCCTCAGATTCCATTACAAAACATAAATGTATATAATGGAAAGATTTATGCTGTCAAAATGAACATGACCTGCGCACAGGAGAAAATTCTGGTTATAGACAAATCCCATTCAAAAACTACTAATAGGAGCTGAGGATTTAGCTCAGTGGCACAGTGCCTGCCTAGCAAATGCAAAGTCGTGAGTTCAATTCCTGGTACCGGAAAACAAACAAACAAAAAAAAAACTATTGACGAAGTCAGGTTGTCCGAATTCATGTAAGTACTGATGGTAGTCATTTGACAAGTTATTTCCTTTTCTCTAGGGTCCCTCTAAATTTGGTTCAGTAATGAATGTGCAGTTTTAGTAATCTGTCAGAAGGGGCACAGGGCCAGTTACTCAGCTCAGAGGCTGACTTGCAGGCACTTCACAGGGTTTTAAAATATTTATGCTCTTGGAATTTAAATGTAGTGATGACAGTGAGGAAGGCTGAGCCCCTGTGCTTCGTGTCGCGGCAGTCCTGAGTAAGAAGAGTGACTGCTGTGTGAATTTCCAGACCTACTCAAGGAACCACTCTCCCAGATGTCACTAGAGGGTTTTTATAGAATTTTTGTCTGTCTATGGCCGCGATAATAATAGCATTCCTATACTTGTGTTTATAAAACCGGTGACTCAGCAGCTTCAGGAATATTTTGCTATTTCACTTTTCAAGTACATTGTCAGACACCAGACAAGTTTTTGGAAAATCTTTCTTCCTCCAGTCTTCATATATTTTTCTTTGTGTGGAAATACAACAAAGCAACAAGTAACCTCGTAAACTTTACCCCAGTAACAAAGGTAGTCACATATCAGGATTCCCTTTCGTTACATTTATGATGTAACTTTACCTTCCACAATTTATCCCAATTTTATTTTTAAAGAGAAATAAAAATTCAGATAATGCACCAAAACATTCCAAACACTGCTATGAAAATAACAAATCCTAATAAAATTCATTCCAAGTTAGCAAAGTGATCCAGCTGTTTTGCTCCTAAAAAACTGGACCATTAAGAAATGCACTGATGGCACAACTAATGTGAATATCTATTTCTTACTTAAACCCCTTCTATGCTGGTTGAATTTTATGAGTCAACTTAACTAGGCTAAGAAATGGTAAAACATTCTCTCTGGGCATATCCATTAGGATGTTACTAAGGAGACATTAGCACCGGAATGACAGACTAAGCTCAGGTAGGCATAGCATCATCCGGGCCCTCTGAGGCCTGGGTAGAGAACAAAATAGCATTTTGGCTGGCATTGGAGAGAGAGAGAATCAGCACAGGCGAGGTCTATATTTTCACAGAGTTTGTATTCTAGTGGACAGGGGAGGCAGGGAACAAGATAATAATTTTGAAACCAAAATATCCTAGAAAGTCCTCTCTGAAGATATACTTCAGCTGTGACTTGGAAAATGAAACTGAGTTGGGGAGGAATACTTCAGACAACAGAATCACAAGTGTGCCTGTAAAAACCTAAACTCAAGCATAGGAATTGAAAGCTACACATGACAGTGCCATCGCATGTGCCTTCAACAGCAAGTGCTGGAACAAGTGAAAGAGAAATATAGTAGGACCGAATTAAATCAGAACTCCAAACCCAGCCGATAAGGACTGGAATTCAGTGTGCAGTTAGGATAAGTTGAAGTATCAAAAGCAAAGGCAGGAGTCAGTGGTTGTAGAGCAAATATGACAGCAATTCTAAAAAAGGAGAAGAATTTGTGGAGAGAGCAGTTGGATGGAATTTTCGAAATATACCTGGGGGGAGGGGAATCACACCTTAAAATTTTTTGACGAACAAATACAGGGATTTGGGCCCAGCATGAATAAGACACTTCCCAGCTATAACATCCGCCCTGGGGTGGATAGTTTGCATATGTAAGGGAGAGAAAGAGGGTGCTTCTGGCCATTTCCTCCCTTGTGTGTGTGCTTGTTGCTTTGGCAGTGTTCTGTCACCATGAGCTGTAGCCCTCTGCCATGTACCACTCTGCCTTGTACCACTCTGCCTTGTAACTTGCCAAGTACAGACTGAAACCTCCACAAACTGTAAGCGAAATAAACTTTTCCTTCCTTAAAAAAAAAAAAAAAAAAGACACTTCCCAGCTATTAAACATGTCAGTGGTTAGTTGTATTGTTTTTGCTTTGATTTTGGCAGTTGATTATTGGAGGCTGAGTATTGGTTTCTTAGATCCTAGCAAGAATAGCATCATTAAACTGCTGTACAGGAAGACAGCAGGTCAGACCGTAATGGAGACGTAATAGGAAGAGGGAACAGGAGTGACTGTGAGCGAAGGTGGGGCAGGAAGACACCAATGAGAGGAGTCCCAGCAAGGTGGAAAAATGCAAATAGAGCGCTAATACAG